TCTCCAATGTGCCCTATTCGCTGATCCACAATGTTGCAGAATCAATTTCTTTTTCAGCCTCCTTTTCCGAAAAATACCACCCAAGAGGAATTTCTTACAACTGATGCCTGCAGCCTATAGTGTACCATATTGAACTCCTCGTGCAATAACCATAGATCCCCAAGTCTCTTACAGGATGTTCTGTCATAATTGAATACTATACCTGCGTCAGCCATTGTTCCAATAGAGAGCAATTTCTACTTATACCAGGAATGTGCATCATTTCGGAGCGTCCTCACTGAACCATCATGCACCTCAGCCTGATTTTCCTTCGACCAATAATCTCACAGCAGTATCATCTACTAACAGAACGTTTCCTCCATTGTATGTCTCATACTCACAAAACCATTCCTGTGAGGTGTCATATGGAATGACGCACCAGTATCAACATACCAGACTGATTGGTCTATCCAGCCATACATGCAGCAGCCACATCATATCACCATTTGATTCTCATTTGTACAAAGTTTCAACTTCCTTCCCTTCACCTTACGGTTTTTTTCTACTCTTTCTCAAAATGCCCAAATTCCTGACATCTCCAGCATTTAATCTTACTTTTATCCTTGCTCTTAGATCTACCTCGCGACTTTCCCCTGTCGCCAGACTTATTAGATTCCTATCAAGGTTTCGTCCCCTAGCAGTTAAAGCATCCCTAGACGAACCCTCTGAACCTTTTCACCGCATATCCTCTGCCAACAATGTAGAACATATAGATTCCCCGACATCTGTGTCAATCCTCCACCACCAATCGCAACAATCAGATTCCCACGTATCAGGCACGAGCATAACAATGTTACCACTTTCTCAGATTCAGTGAGTTGTACATCCACAGCCAACAGTTGATTCACCAGAGTATTAACATCATCCACTGTGCAGCAAGAGAATCCCATCATGCATACGGAGATTGTAGAGTTTCTTGCAACGGAACAGCCGTTCACCAAAGACTTACTCAACATATTTTCCAACTTCTGCCAAACCCTAGCCGTATCCTGATCCATCACTTCGTTAGAATAGACTCCTCAAGACAGATGGAATCAAACCTCTACGTTTCCGATCCATCTTGTCCATTCAGCAAGTGCAACACGATCAGTCGCTGATAATTCTCCTTCAGGTGGCGTTGCAGGTTTAGACCCAGGCGTACTTGACAATGCAGTTCCAAACTTTCACTCGTCGTAACAACGCAGTCCCGACTGTTGGCCTATCATTCACAATTGCACCCCATAAATCCCTATCAACGAGTAGATCCTCCATCCGCAGTTTCCAAAGCTCGAAGTGTTTGCCGTCGAACTTCTCAATCTCAACCTTTGATCCCGCCATCTAAATCACAATCTAATAGAACCTGCTCTGATACCAATTGAACGAAATAGACAACAACAGGAACAAATATAACAGTAAAACAAATCAAACAGTAAACAAAGAAAATGACACGCGCGATTTACCCTGGTTCACCCAATGTGCTAGTCCAGCTGAGTCAATATATTGCAATATGCCTCACCTCTCTCGTTTACAATGAATGAATTGCCCTATGATTTGCTATCACACACACAACAAGGAGAAAAGTTGTTTATATACTAGGTTTAAGAGACTAAACCTAGTTTTATAAGGATTCATATTCATAAGCCCAACTCAATAAGGAATTAGTAACTTAAAAAAATCCTACAGTGGTTATACATGGAAAGCCCAAACCCACCGGGCTCGGGGACGCTGCCTCCGCAACCCCTGCCCGCTGACGGGCAGCGGGACTCCTGAGTGTATCTACGTTACCCATTAATGCTGAAGTAGTCGACAACCCAACATATAAGAGGTATATCCTCTTATTCAACAAGATCTATTGGGTGAGGAGTCAGACTCCCTCAAATTCTATCACTTTTTTTTAGGTCAACACCTTCATTCAATTTGTTCTTTAGTTTGGTTATAGAAAGGTCTTTTCTTATTTCAGACTCCCAACTTTTTCATGTTCTGCGAAAATTCGTAATTTTATCGGAATAATTGATGGATTTATTATTCTCTCTTAGCGCAATAGATGTCTCGCCGAACAAAATTATTATTATATTAAGAACTAGATGATATTGTTGTCAAATTAGGATTATATATTTATATAATTTAAAATTCCTGGCATCTTTTGATTTTTAAATCATGATGAGAATATAAAATATGTAATAGGTTCCAATTTCGTGGCCTGGTAAAATTTATATAAATTAGCCAAGTTGTTGTCTATTATTCTGTTTTGATTTGATTTCTAAAAGCCATTGGAGTGATTCTTTTTCCAAGTTGTTTAACTATGTAATACAGTAAACCTCTCTAAGTGATACTCTATATCATGGTTGTTAGTATCCTATACCTGATACGTATATACGATACGATTCAATACAGGTCGCCAACGATGTATCAGAGAGTGTATCCTAAACCATTCGACACGTTATATGTATCCTACGATACGATACGTATCCGTTCGTATCCTTAAAAATACGATATAAATCGATACGACTTTATTAATTTGGGCTAAAGGTCCAAAAAAAAATTGGTTCGAACCGGGTCACCCACCACCCGATTCACTAAACCTGTCCAAATTTACCTATTTTTCATGGAGGAAGTGAAAAGGATATGTATTGCCCATTTTACATGATAATAATATATAAGGGAGATATGATATTGACATTATCTCTTGGAATTTTGTGATTAATTTTGATTATGTAATACCGTAATTTAAAGTCAATAATACCACAAAATTCTTTAATTAATCTTGGGGATTATATTAATTTTTAGAAAATTTTGATTATTTTATTAATTTTTTTGAAAAATGCGTATCTTACGATACGATACGATACGCGATACACGATTCAAAAAATTAGGTTTTCGATACACGATACGATACACGATTTGATAACTATGCTCTATATAGGAATAAACTCTACATAGTCATAAAAAATTTTAGTCTCAATTTGGGATAGTTATAAATAAGAATAAATTCTACATTATAATAAATTATAATTTTTTTAATTCCTGCCTTAAGGAAAGTTGTCTCTACATAGTAATAATTATTTGTATATTACAAAAAATATATATATTATGTAAAATTAAAAGTTTAAAATGAAATAAAATATTTATTTAAAATTGTTTGGAACAATGATTTATGCTTTAGGGTTGTTATCGTATCTTTTACCTTACGAGTACGTAATAGCTCGTTAGCATGGATACCTTCTTGTTGAAGCCAAAATATTTTTAGTTTTTCAAGTATGTTTAGAGCTTCATGGCACAAGACTTTTTGTATTTCCATACTATTACCCTTAGGATTATTTCTTTTCTCTTCTTGTCCAATTGCAACAATGATTTCTCCTTTAGTTAAAGCATACACGATTTGTTGCTCATTTGGATAATCAAAGAAGACATTAATATTCATTCGATTAGTGTAGTGAAGTTGCCGAATCTGATCACTCAATTCTATAGTGACTCTTTTATTCTCCTCATCCACTTCATTTGTAACTTACAATTCATTAACATTAGTGATCCTAATTTTGCAGCGCTTAAAACCATTGACAATTGTCTGTGGCTTCACATCAATTGACTATGCATCAACTGCATTTACAGTTTTATCAATGACACTTATTTTTGCTGGTTCTAAGAAACGATCTTTTATCGGTTTCAAAAGTAGGCAATCGAAGCGTTGAATCGAAATCCTAATATTACTAAAATATGAATTANTTCAACACCTTCATTCAATTTGTTCTTTAGTTTGGTTATAAGAAAGGGTCTTTTCTTATTTCAGTAACTCCCAACTTTTTCATGTTCTGCGAAAATTCGTAATTTTATCAGAATAATTGATGGATTTATTATTCTCTTATTACGAATTTTCAGCGTCAATAGCTGTCTCGCCGAACAAAAATTATTAGTATATAGAAACTAGATGATATTGTTGTCAAATTAGGACTATATAGTTATATAATTTAAATATTCCTGGCATCTTTTGATTTTTAAATCATGATGAGAATATAACATATGTAATAGGTTCCAATTTCGTGGCCTGGTAAAATTTATATAAATTAGCCAAGTTGTTGTCTATTATTTCTGTTTTGATTTGATTTCTAAAAGCCAATTGGAGTGATTCTTTTTCCAAGTTGTTCAACCATGTAATATATGTCTCTGCCTCTTTGGTTGTTTAAACTTTATAGGATACAGAAAATTTTGATGAATTTGAAATAAAGGTAGAAAAATACGCAACTATTTCTAATATTAAAAAGTCGAAAGAAATTCATTCTGCAGACAAACGAAATCCATAAATTGCAGGGGATAATTTTGGGCCAAGAAAGCCCAGTTCCCTAACTAACGTAGATTTGATGGAGTTGTTAAAGTTTTAAGAAGAAAAAAAAGTGGTGTTATCGCACATGAATGATGATTAAGATTAAAGACAAAAGTCTATTATGACTTCCACTAAAATAACCAACCCTTTATTAATCTTCTGATTATGATACCCACTTTATAGCTGTTACCAACATTAATAACCAAGTGAATTTGACATTTTTAGGTTTAATGATCTCCACTTACCAAAACTTCTCATCGATTATAATGAAAGAATCGTCTTATTATTACAAAATCTTTTTTCTTAAAAATCAATTAAAACACATCTTTAAAAATTAAAAAGCGATAATTAGAAATAGAGTCAATAAACCGCATATGTTAAAAATTGGGAGCTTTACGACGGCCACATTATGCGGGATTGCGACATGACCTTCTAAAAACTCTTTTAGATTACTACCAAGGATCAATCTTCTCAATGAAACATTGCTCTAAAACACAGAATCATATACGTTTAACTTTCATTAACCATGTTGTTTTCAACTTAGGAAAAAGCAGCAGTCCTTACTCCTTATATATTAAAAAAAAAGGTATAAAATTCAGTATATAAAAATTGAATATCAACTCCCCAGATAAGCAAACCATATATATAGATCATTCCAAAAAGATTAAGAAGGAAGATATTCATCATATTCAGTCGTCATAAAACAAAAGTAAAATTTATAACCACACAAAAACCAATTTAAAAGAAAAGAAAACAGTCTGGCTGAAGAAACACCTTAATACCTTCATTTCATACCCCCCCCGAGCTTTATACATTTGTTAAACATAAAACCCACTACCATGCAACCCACCCTCTGCCTATAAAATTAAAGCACTAAAAATTTTGTAGTGCATCCACCATAGAACCAAACCTCTTTTAAGAATTATCTTTCATGGTTGAATTCTTTCAGAAGGCATCGGATTCAAACATTCAGATATACATCTCCAGAAGGAACGCACACTCCAAACTTCTTGAGGACTACATTAACTACCTACACAGATCTCCCCTTCTAAAAGAGTGAGGTTAAACTAGTCAGTTAAAGTTAAAACCACCCAAGACCTTACACTGGAAATGCATGTTAGTCATGGCAAGCAGCACCGAGCTTGCTCTTAACATATCCAGACCCGAAAAAGCATTTAGCAGGTGGCTCACTGCAAACTACTGGGCCTACCAGTCGCTGGTATAGAAGTGGCTTGGGGAAATGAGTGATGGACCATCATATTTTTATCCAAAGCATTGGCTGATGTGTTGCCCTTCACAGTCTGCTCCAAAAGACGAACAAGTGACATAAATATCTCCATCCTTGTTACATCCCTGTTTGCCTGCATGTGAAATTCAAATTAAATGACAAGTACAAATTATGCATGTGAAACTTAGATTAATACAGAAATTCAAAGTACATCTATTAGATAATGCCCATGAAAGTAAGTCCAAACTACCATTAACTACAAATTTTTAACACAAGAAAATTCTCAGTCCTACCCATTTAACCATACAACAAAAGCTCCCCATTTACGTGGACCTCTTGGATCTTGGAAAACAAAGACAACTATAAGCCCTTTATCACTGCCAACCCTTAATTTAAATCGGAAATCGTTACACCCGTTTCTGTCACATAATATAATGAACCCAATTAAACATTCACCTGAACTGTCTAGGCTATAGAATGTAATTAACCCCCCCACCCAGAGCAACAAGAAGGGAAAGAAACATTAAAACAAGTATAGCCTATTTAGAAAAGTTTCTCCATGGAAAAAACATGTTCTAAGTTTTCCCATGAACCAGTTTGTGGTCAAATAATCCAAAGGCTAGGGCCATCCACTGTTATATCAAAATAGATTTACAATGACTAATAGTTGATTGGTAACAGCAACATTGCTTTAGCAGATCTTACCTCTACCGCAAAGCGTGCCCAGATCTTGTCGTTCCTAGTTTCCATCACCCCCTTCAAGATAGTCAATCCCAATCCCCTTATCAGGTCAGCTATTTCTAAAAAGAAACCCTGTTCCTCACAAAGCATCTGTCACAAAAAGAAAACAACATAAACAATTGTTCAAACCAACCAATAAAAGCTAAACAACAGGTAGTCACTACCTCCACAAGCATCTGTCGAGGCGGATTCAGATCCTCGACTATGATAGGACAGACCATAGATTGTGAACCAACTTCAAATGCCCATGTCGCCCCTCCCTCAAAGTTGTCTTTTAACAGTAATCCACCTTCCTTGTTGATAATCTGCAGTTCAGGAACAAATAAAATACACCGGCCAAGAAATTTCTTGGGCAAAAGACATGAATGGTGCACCAACAAAAGAATGATGGTGAAAGGATACCCACTTCAAACATTTCACTGGGTAAGTCTGTTTTTCATCTAATATAATATTTGTGAAAAATTCCATAAGAATTGTTAATTGCATTAATTGATCCAGATACACCACAATATGCATATAACTCAAACCTGCCGCATTGTCAAGAAAATTATGCCTTACAGATTCACAAATTTCAATACAATCCAGTGCCAGAAATCTATGAAATTGGCACGGTTATACAACAACTTTCACAGAAGGCTAGGTAACTAGAGAAATGAAGTAAAGAGAGTAGATGTCGCCTGTACCTTAGACTCCCCTGTTTGTTTAAATTTGTCTGCATGCTTAGTGACACTTTGCAAGAAAAGCATATGCTTAATGGTACGCTCTAGAAGTGCATCTATGCTACACTGTTAAAACATGCCAAAGGAATGAAGAATAGCATCAATATTGGAATAACATTTATTATTGGCAGAAAAAAAAAAAGGGATATCAGTGAGGAAAGAGATAGATGCAATTACTTTTGCCCCATTGGGTACAATTTCCCGCAACTCTTTCACACGATCTTGAATCATTTGACGATCTTTTGGCCTAGGTCTAGGGTTCTCTCCAGGTTTAAGTCTTTTGCGATTTGATTTAGTCATTTCATCATTCCTTTTAGAATATGCAGTCGAGACGCTACCATCACACTTCACACTATGACCCTGTTCTACCCAAGAACTGATATGGGATCCATAAATGGAAGTAGTTTGAGAACAACTCGCCCCATCATCCTTACTACAGCCTGATTGAAAAGAAGTTGATCCTACAGTCCCCACCTTTGCCATGGACTTAGGCAGGCCAAATAGCTCCCCTTGCACTAGATTAGACAAATTAACCTGACCACAGGACGGAGAAGAACCAGGAATAGAGGAACTACTAATCTTCGACACTGTTGTTCTGCAAGACATATTATCATCTGAAATCTGCTTGGCACTGGAGTGAGCCCTTGAGACCACGGCATCTAAAAGATGTTCAGTTCCCATCCCAGAGAATGTGACAGTGTTTGATAAACCTTCATTAACTGAATAAAAATCAGAATTCACATCTGGCTCATTCAAACACATTGAACTAACCTTACCCAGATTTTGCCCATCTGCGTGAAAATGGTTCCAGTTTCCATTGAGGAGCTTATTTTTAAAATCAACACCCAAAACATCAAACAAGTCATCCCCTGATGGAGGTTGCCCAAATCCATCTTCAAATTTAGCATTGATAGACCTTAGAGCTGTATCTGCATTGTCATGCTTTTGGCAATCATAAATAAATCCAGGAATTTGCCCACTCAACAACATACTTTCATGAGGATGATGGTTGTTAAATGCTTGAAACATATCATTGCTCACCCTTTCCTTCATAGAGGCCAAATCATTTTGACCATGCTTAACATCTGACAAACTGGAGCCTCCTGAGAGCATGTGGCTCATGGTTAATTGATCTACCAGACCAGACAAAGGAAACTCCTCCACTTTTGATGAATTGCAATTTTTAATCCCCGTACCAGCCAGGTAAGAGCCATATAGATTACTATCTGCTAGTTTCTGCGGATTTGATTTTGAGCATGAAAGTGAATTTGAACTTATTTGACCAATCATTCTGCCACATAGCTCACTTCCCTCAAGCAATTGTGTAGGAACAGAACCTCCATTTAACCCTCCAATTTTTCTCAACTGAGAACCCACAAATCTATCACCATTTACTTCATTTGCATTCTTGGTAACATGACCTCGAACAGCAGCATCTGTCAAAATCTGCTCAACTGACTTAAGGCTGCTACAACTGCCGCTTAACAGATCAAAAGTAGGTTGATAATTGAATGCAGTCCTTGAATTACATAAAGAAGCCTGCTGATTCAGCCACACATCTGAATTTGTGGGGATTACTTCAGCATCCACACCTCCATTCCCCAATTGATCTCCGAAGGGAAGGTTCGGCTTCAACACTTGACTAAATTTTGGTTCACAGTGATCATCATGGGATTTAACTGAAGTTTGAGCCACATTAGGAGTTTGAAATGTTGACGCACTAGCTTGTACATTATGCTGAATCTGTTTACCTAGACAACCCAAAACTTGACCAACTAGCCTTGATGGTTGAGATGAGCTGCTCTGTTGATTGTAGCTGCCAGCAGTTACTGGAGTGGAGCTTGTCACTTTATAAATTCCAGATGGATCCACAGAAACAGGCCTTTCACTAGAAACAGGTACCCCAAGTTTCCTATCAGATTCTTTTGCTCCATAATGTTCAGAAAGAAGAGCTCCAGGGACACATCCCAATTGCAGGATTATATTCTTCACATAATTTACAAATTCAATGTTCTCAATAATCTGAAGTAGAATGGATGGACAGAAAAAGATTTAGACTTAAAACAAATTAATATATTCAACAAATTATCTTGGCCTCAGAACAAACTAAGCTTAAATAAAGAATGTTAAAATTTAGTGTAAAGCTAATGGAGACAAGAAGCAACAAAAAGGACTTACGGCCAAGGAAGAACCAAATTGAACAACGCCATGAGGATGAACAGGTATAACAGCAACTGTCTGCAAACCAAATATAGGTATTGTAATTAATAAACAGCAATATGTCAAACAGTTCCAAAAGCAGGGTATATAAAAAGCCATCATACCTGCATGCCAGCTGAAAATTGGAGATGCACCTCATTTTGAACCTAAAAGCACAAAATCAAGAATTTATACAAATTATACTACAATATACTGACCTATGAACAATAGTTTTAGCTTCTGAAAGAAAACAATAGCTTAACTTAGGTTATATTAACAAAAGAGAATTCATCAAGATATCAGCAACCATTAGCCCCCATCTAAATAATATCATTATTACCAAAGATCATAAATCAACTTGACTCTTGTCTTTCTTTCGTTTTATTTTTTTTTTTTCTTTAGAAAAAAAAAAAATAGAAAAAAAATGAAATAAATTCAATTGATTCAATTGATTTAAAACTTATTTGATTTTTTTTTTGGGCAAGTCAACTTGACTCTGTCACTACAACAATATGGTTGTTTTCTCAATGGTTGAGCATTTGATCAAAACCTTGACTTTAAAAATAATAATAATAATAATAAATGCTGAAGAAAATCATGCCACTCATGATGCCTAACCCTTCTTTACACCATCTTCATTGGCATAGAACTCTGCTTCATAGCAACAGACACAAGCAGAAGTTTGTATAATACCTCTAGCGGATGGGCATCTCTAATATGATTGTTCGCAAGAATCCACTGGTGGTTTCCTGTGAATGCAGCCCGCCCTACTATTCTGGAAAAAACAAAAAACAAATGCTTCATAAATCTATTTATAACAGACACACTTAAAATATGAGACTGAAAGTATGAAAGTGAGAATGAAGCATACCCTTCACCTAATACATGAACATGATTATTCAACATCATTTTGTTAATTAGCTGTTGCACTCTGTCTCCTGCTTGATTCCCAAGCTGAGAGGAGCTAATTTCAGAAGAACCCCAGCATCCTTCCCACTCTCCAAAAGGTACTTCAGGATTTAGTGATGATTCATTGTAATGTTCTTCCCAAATTAATAACCTGCAAAGGAAAACAATGTAAATATTATTGCAAGACAATCATTTACTTTAATTCACAAATTGAGAATTATAAACGCAATAGTTGCCAGCAATGCAAAAAACTTGAAATCAAACTGCACGCCTTTGCTTGCTAAGAAGAAGATTTAAACAAACAATTTAAAAAATAAAAAAAAAAGGCAAATTTATACTTAACTAGACTTCTACAAGGCGAGAAGCTGAAAAACAAAAAGGAAAAGAAAAGAAACTGAAGAAAAGAAACCGGAATTAGAGCAAATAGTTATTGAAGATTATTTGGTGAAGTATATCCCCTTTTTGTTTTTGTTTTCTGAAACAAAACATTTTTGTTTTTTATCTTGAAACAAACATATTCAAAGCAGCCAAGTATGCATGACAAAAAAGCAACTAAAGAGCATAGTGGTTGAATAACTGGTAAAAATGGCAACTTTATGTTACTTAAACAAGAAATAAGACCGAATAGAATCAAACAAATACTGAATCAATAGTTGATATGATCTAACAAAAAAACAAATAGAGAGAGGGTTTGTCAAACTAAAACAAAATACTTTTTTACTCCGATTCTAAAGCAAAACGATACCTCCAAAAACAAAAGTATCAATACAAATCAGAATTACCAATCACTCTGTACCATCTCAATCTCAATTCTAACAACGAACCAACTAATTTAAAAAAATTAAAAATTTAGCACTTATAGCACCCATTTTTTCTTGATTAAGTCGAAAATAAACCAGAAAACTAATAAAAAAAAAAAAAAAAAAAAATATCCCGGCGTTTCCTTGACTTTCCGAGCAACTAAAGAAAGAGAAAACCAGAAACTAAAAGAAAAGAGAAAACTTACTTAGTGTTATGGCAGCCGATCTTCCAAAACACAGAATAGGACCATTGATTCGAAGAACAGAAGGCTTTTAACACCTCTTTTAACATAATACCCATTTTTTCTTGAATTTTTTTACCACAAACAAATCAGTAACAAGAAAACACAAGACTAAGAATCTAACTTCCTCGGCATGATCCTCTTCCAGCTTGTTTGGTTCTCAAACCTCCACTCCTCTTTCTCTCCGGATCCAAGTTTCCACCAATCATTCTTCCGAAACCCATGTTTATTATGAGTTATATGAAACTTAAATAAACACGAAAGTGTATTCGAAAGTGTTGGTGGCAGCCATTTGAAGTTGAGATTTGAGAGTTGAGAGTTGAGATTGAGTTTTGAGTTTTTGAGTTTCAGGTTTTGGTTGGTATGTGTAATGACTAATGAGTGTGGTGTTTTGATGTAGGAAGTGTGGTTAAAGAAACAGGCATGGAGTTTATAGGAAATTACGAGGACTGCCACTGTGGTAGTTTTGTCGGTTTTTGGTCAGAGAGATGTTGGTGAGTCTGAACAGGTGACGAGATGGTGCGGGTCTGCTGTCGTGCTCACGTCATCCTCACTATTGACATTGCTTTTTTCAGAAAATTACCTAAATGCCACAAAAGTCACTTTGAAGGTTTATTGGATGCTCTACTGTTGGCTTTTACTGCATTGTTTGTAAGTACACTATGTATATGTTACTCAGTAAATTATTTAATTAAATAATAATATTTTCCCAAGCGACGAAAACGCAAAACTGGCTGTTGTTTTTTTTTTTTTTTTTTTTTTATATGTAATCTATCTTGTCAACCTAAGACTAAGAATCTTGATATAATATATTATTTTTAATATAATGGAGTATTTGGATCAATTTTTGTATATTTTGATTAATCTTCGACACTCATTAAATATTTTACAAGTTTAATATTTCAAAGTAAGCTACAAATTTACTTTTTTTATTGTCAAACCAATTTATAAGGGTTTTGATTTATTATTATTAGAAAATATATATATATAAATATATGTTTTAACATATGTGTTGAGTTCACATGGTAAAATCACAAGTTTTTCTATTTTGTTAAATTTTTTTCATGATTCTTTTATCTGTGATTTGTATTATAGAACAAATTTATAGTATTTTAAACTGAAACGAATTGAAGAATTAGAATTGTCATCTAAAAATGGAATTTTTGTGTCTCTTAATCTAAGACATATAAATGATCAGTCTCTTTCTCCAAGTACCTCTTGACAAAGGGCTATAATTCTAACGGAAAAGAAAGTTGATAAATAAATTAAAATTGTACAGTGTATACACATTCACGTTAGGGTTAGGGATAACAAAGTCTAGATATTAAAATTTTCTTCACAGATCAGAGCCGTTGGATGGTTTGTCATCGCTTCATGCGCAGTGTTGAGCCCATAACTTCCATTAATGCACCTAAAAAGTGCTTGAAGTTGTAGTTAATCAAACCCGCTGCTGAACTGAACTATAGGCATTATCTTCAATAATAAAAAAAAATTGCACTTGAAATTGGCCCAATGACATTTTGTCCCCTAATCTATTTTTAAATAACATAATTCCTCTCTTGGTTTCAGAAATACCCAATATTATCCCTAAAGTTAGCTTTTTATTTGACCACTAAAATTCTAGTTTTCCCCTTATTTTCATTATTAGAAGATTAAATATTTTTTAAATTAATTCATTTATTTTTAAAATATTCGAAAGTAAGGCGAGAATATTGTCCTTATGATATAGATTGCGGGTCAACGTGTCATTTGGCTCCTAAAATTAACGGGCACATCACATGATGTACCTGGATACCCTGGCCCTGTAGCTTAAACATGGGAGAAAAAATTATAATTTATTTATACATGCATTCTAATTATTTCTTGGTTCTTGTTGTCTTTACAATCATATACGACAATTTAAACAAGAAAAGAAAATGTAAAATAAAATCCAAGTGTGAAAATTCTCCATTGATTTCATTTAATATAATGTGTTCTTTTCTTTTGTTGGTCCTTGTGGAAGATTTTATATGTTGTGGTTGGCTGACATGCCAGTTATTGTCATAACCTTTTTCATTAAATTACCAAATGTTCTTTATTATAATATTAATTTTACATTTAAACTTTCATAGGTGGCTGTGAACCTTTGATGCTTCTATTCTGTAGTCCTTCTTTTTAATACTAAATAAATAATTAACTGCTCCAGTTGGTGGGTGGGTGGCTCGTTAGGGCTTGATAGACACGTTTTAGTTAATTATGTTTAAGTTATCTAGGAAAGATTATGATTATAATAATAACTTCCTAGCCATTGATGAAGAGCCATCTTACAAAATGAATGGCTATGATTGATGGGTTTAATGAGCTGGGTTGGTTGGTGAGTGGGTGTGTCACTTGTGGAAATAAATTAATGGTGAAAGACATAAAAAGATGGAGCACTAGTTGGAGACACATGAGGGTGTGTATTCTTTTTACTTACTTTAATTAAACTTATAGTAAAATTTTGTGGGAGAATGGGTAAAAAGATTCCTGTTCAATGTGCTCATTCTTTTATTTTATTAATTTTTTGACTGTGGACTCCGGACTCCTACTCCTACTTCTTACTCTTGTCTTTCTAATTTATGCACTTTAAAGACAGGAGTAGGCTTTACTCCATCCAAGATAAATAAATAATTAAAACAAAAAATCAATTCATTTTCAATAAAAAAATACAAGAATAATATTATTTAAATAAATATTTACTCATTCAAACTTTCTTATTATAGAATCCACAGCTTTATCTTCTTTTTTTTTTTGTTAAAAAAAGTACATGAAAAAAATCTTTGTAAAAAAATTCTTTGCAATGTTCTACATTTTTCTTCCCTTTATTTTTCTTTACTGTTTTCAATGAATTAATTAGAAAAAATATATATATATATATTTTGGATATATATACACAACCTATTAATATAAAATTTTGGATAATTGTTTAGTTCTCCACTTAATATAAATTTCACTTTACAAACGTGTATGTGTATATATATATATAATTAAGAGATTTTTTAATAAAAGCAACTTTAATAAAAGAAATATTTTAAATAATTTCTATTAAAAAAATTACTATGCTCTATAAGTTAAATTATAATTATTTGTTATTTTAAAAGAAAGAGTTGTCTTCAAAACTCTATCTATTTCTATATGAAAACATTAATTGCTAGTAAAAAAAAAATTTTTTTCTAGTAACTAAATTAATAGAACTGGTGGTAGGTCAATTGAGGCTATACGGAAGATCTTGGATGAATGAATAAAATGGTATAAAATTAATTCGTGATTTTGACAATTCAAAAAAAAAAAAAAAATTGTGGATTATTTTGTTAGATAATATAATAGAGTTATAGTATTAAATTATCAAAAATGATTTTGTTATTAAAAGAAGGATAAAATAAAATTTTTAAAATTATATATAATTTAAAATTTTTATATAAGTTAAAATAAACCAACATCGTAGTTTCTCTAATTAATAGTAAATAACTTATTTACTCACAAGTTCTTCTTCTTACATTAAAATCAAAGGATAAAAAATCCTTTGAAGAAACTTATGACATTAAAAAAACCTTTTTAGACACTTGAGCCCTACCAAATGGACAATAAAACATATATTAATTAAATTAATTTTACTGTGATCTTTTGCCCTCAAATTTATGATATTTATGTCTCTAAATTGTATCAATTTTTTTTTAATAAATATAATTAAGAAGTATAAATATGGAATCATAATAAAAATAAGGTTGGACTAATTTCATTATCTAGTTGGAAAATTAGATTAATATAAGAGTGGAATGAAATAAATATCTTGTATCAATAATGAAGATTATAAGTTAAAAAATCAATACTCGTGACATCTCATGTCGCTTGAGAATGTTAAGTGAAGCTTAGTTAAATATCTTGTAAGCTCATAAGTTGTTAATGCGTTTTTTGTGTAAAGGGCGCTTGCATGAAGCATAAAAGTAAACTCATGAGGGCCAAAGTGGGCTTAAAGTGAACAATATCTTGATAGTGAATAGGGTCTATAATCGAACAAATAAAACATTATAATATTATTATTAAATGATTTCACAAAATCAATGAATGAAATGTGACATTCCATATCACTTGGGAAAGTTAAGTTAAGACTAATTAAATATCTTGTGAACTCATAAGTTGTCAAGACGATACTAATTAAATATCTTATGAACTCAAAATTGTAAAGACACATTTTGGGTTTTGGGAGAATGACGCTTACGTAAAACCAAAAGCAAACTTACAAACCCATGTAGGTTATCTCAAAAGTAGGGGATGACTATGGCATCCCATAACGGTTGCAAAAGCAAACCCACAAACTCGTGCATGTTATCTCACAAGCAGGGGGTTGAATTGTGGCATCCCATACACTTGGGAAAGTTGCAGGCACATCCTATATTACTTTCAAAAGCAAACTTGGGTTTAGCAAATCTGTGCAGGTTAGCCGAGTTTAACAAACCTGTGCAAGTTATCTCAAAAGCAAAGGGTGAATTGTGGCATTCCATACCGTTTAGGAAAGTTAAATGAAGGCTAATTAAATATTCTATGATCTCCAGACTGTCAAGATGCGTTTTGGGTAAAAAAGGCTTGTGTGAAGTTAAAAGCAAACCATGCAGGTATGTGTGTGTCCAAAGTGAATAATATGTTGACAGTGGATTGGGGTATTAGTGTATTACAATATTAGAATCTCTAGTTGAACAACGCCCAAGGCTGTTTGCTTGAGAAATTTAGCTCATAAGCTGTCAAAACAAGCCTCTTTCACTTAAAACCCAAAACGCTCGGGTATATGTGGATCCAAAGCGAACAATATGCTGACAATAGACTAAGTGTTACAATATTAGAATCTCCAATTGAATGACACCCAAGGCTGTTCGCTTGAGAAAGTTAACTCATAAGCTGTCAAAACATGTTTTTGATAAAGGAAGTTTATGCGAAGCCAAAAGAAAACTCATGCAGCCTTGTGTAGACCCAAAGTGAACAATATGTTGATGGTGATTCACAGTGTTACAATAGTAGAATCTTAAATTAAATAAAATATTTTAGGTGAAGGAAGCTTGCGTGGAGAAAAAAAAAAAAAAAAAAAAAATTAAAAAAGACCAAAGCAAACAATATGTTGAGAATGGGGTTGAGGTTATAATACTAGAATCTCCAATTGATTAAGAAAAATATTATAATATTTTCGTAATCAAATCAATTTTGTTTAAAGGTTACCACAAAACCATTGATTGGATTGATTACTGAACAACATAAGTACGCAATCCATGGTATTTACAGGTTAAAACAGTAACCTAATCTCTTAGAAAGGAAATTCAATGGACCACTACCAAATAAAGTGTGGATATAATTGGGTTTTCTGGCCCAATTTA